GGCCCTGCGCACCCCGGGCCCGGTCCGCACGATGACCGTGGGACTCGGGCACAGCCGGGCGCCGGCGGCTCACGCCTGTCATCCTAAACTGCTCCGGAGGCTGCGATCTGAGGATCGCGGTTCGAAGCCAGCCCGGGCAGGAAAGTCCGATGAACCACCGGCAGACCGGAAGTGGCCTCCCCCGCGGTCACTCGGGCTCTGGGGAAAGCGTGGCCAGTGGGAACTGATGCCAGGGCTGCCCAGAGAAACCCACGCGCCGCCGGCCGCTCACAGCCAGAGCTCGGGCGTGTGTGGGATGCCCGGCCGGGAATGGGGTTGGAGACGTGGTCCAGGGGGTAGAGCGCCAGCCAGTGCGAGGAAGCATCAGGTACCGACTGAGAGTCCCGGTCTTGGCTGGGACCTGTCACCCCCTGCCTGTGTGAGACCCCCCACAGCCCGTGCAGACACAAGCCGACTGAGAACACCTTTTATTTGGCCACATGCAGTGGGGAGGGGCTGGCATGGTGGGCCTGGCTGGGGTAGGCAGGGAGAAATGGCAGCCCCTAGGGGGACTTGGGACGCCTGGCCCTCGTTTGCAGGGAACCCCTTTTCCCTTTCTGTGGCTGCCACTTCCTGTGCGCCCACACCTATACTGCGGCCCAGTGCGGGATTCCTCGGGAAGCCCTGCATTATGGAAGTACTAGTCTGGCTCCCACTGGAAAGTCCTAAGCAGGACCCCACTGGCTATCCCAGGCCTGTCCTGTGCAACTCGGGAGCAGGTCTGAGCACCAGGAGGGAGCTCAGGGGGACAGAGGACAGAGGGGTCAGAAGGAACCACCCCCAGATCCGCCTGAGGCACGGGGTCACCAGCCAGCATCTGCCACAGGTTTGCCCCATGTCCTGCTGGCTCCTGCTTCAGGGGCCCCAAAGGGCACAGGGGACAGGTCACAGGGGACAGATCCCTGAGGGGGGGGCAGAAGAAGGCACACACAGGGATGTGGGCTGGCCTCCAGGCTTGGAGAGCTCTCTCACAGCAGCCTGGGGGACACGTTCACCTGCCTCCCGTTTCATCTTTTAAGGGGGCCGGCATCAGATCGGGACCTTGGTGGAGAGTGGGGGGCCTCTGGCATTGAAAGCTGACCAGATTGACAGGCTCCACAAAGAGGCAGCTGGGGGGGGGGATGGAGGTCAAACCAGGAGGTCTGGGGGTAGCTGGCTTGCAGCCCTCCTCCTTCTTAAGGCAGACTCTTCTCTGACAGCTGCTCACCATTCAGGGCTCGGTGGATGGGGATTCAGGGGGTGTCAGGGAAGCGGGGGCCCGATGGTGATGCTGCTGTTGGTGACCCTGGGCCCGTACCAGCCGGCCCAGTAGTGAGTGTCCACGCCACCGTGCTGAAACCAGATGTAGCGGACGCCGGGTGGGTAGTTGGAGAATGTGTGGGAGACCTGGGGCAGGAAGAAGGAGGGAGAGCGTCAGGTGAGCTGGCCCCAAAAGGCCAAGGGAGCAAGAAAAAGGCTCTGTCCTCAAGGCTGGACCTGGGTCAGCAGGTGCGGTTTGGGGCCTAGCTCTGTGGTTGTGGGCAGGTCATTTTAGCTCTCTATGCCTCTGTTTTCTTATCTGTAAAATGGAGCCAATACCAGGTGTGCATATGGGTTTGTTAAATTGAACTAAAATTAGTTATTTTTTTAAAGTCTATTATTGGGGCTGAAAATGTGGTCCTAGGACTTGAACTCAAGGCCAGGGTGCTATCTCTGAGCTAGCATTTTACCACTTGAGCCACATTTCTGTTTCTGGCTTTTTTTTTTTTTTTTGCCAGTTCTGGGGTTTGAACTCAGGGCCTAGTCACTGTCCCTGAGCTTCTTTTGCTCAAGGCTAGCACTCTACCACTTGAGCCACAGCACCACTTCTGTTTTTATTCTGTTCATATGGTACTGAGGAATGGAACTCAGTTCATGCATGTTAGGCAAGCACGCTACCACTAAGCCACCTTCCCAGCTCCCCTTCCCCTCCCTCTTCCCCCCAGGAAGGCTTCTTATTACTAGTTCACAGATGAAGTGAGCCAGGCCCTGGAGTTCCAAAACCCAGATGCAAAAAGGCAGAGCTTAGAATTGACCCTTGCACTGACTCAGCAGTCTCTCTTAGGAACCTGTCCTGCCTCTTTGCCCTCCCCCCCAGACACACCCACTCAGGGCACACCCCGCCCACGCCCCCCCAAGGCCTGCTCAGCCCCTCCACCTGCCCTAACTCACCTCCCTCCACTTGGCATCGCTCTTCTGCTGGATCATCGCAGGGTCGGGCTGGAAGGTCCCCAGTGGTGCGTGAGCGGATGACAGGAGCTGAACGCACAGCTGGTACTTGGACCCGCAGTCTGGCCTGGCTGCAAACCTGCGGACAGAGGGAGGGGGTGGGGGGCAGGGCGGGGGTGGGGCGCCTGAGCAGCAGGCCCCCTTCCCCCCTCCCCTTGCCCGCGGGCACTCACCAGTCCTTGACCTCGATGTCCGGCCGGGTGTTGTCCATCAGCTCCTCCCAGTACCCTTCGGCCTTGAGGTCCACTACCTGGGACTTGAGGCAGGTGCTGGGGAGGTAGAGGGGCATGGGCCTGGGGCTCAGCAGCAGGAATTGGGAGCTAGGCTGCCCCTCCCCCCAGGCCAGAAGCCCTCAGGGTGTCCTAGGCATTTCCCCCACTCCCCAAGACCCCCAGATCTTACTAATACGATGTCACGAAGTATTTCTTGACCTGGTCATTGGGGAACTCCTTCCTCTGGTCTTTAGAGAGGTCTTCCACCTTCCACTCGTCCCCTCCGTTCACATCGAGGCTCCAGAACTCAAAGCCTTCTGCTGGGAAGGCAGAGTTCCTCATGCAGGATGTCCCCCTGCACCCCCTTTCCACACACCCCTTCCTTCCTCCCTCTCCGCTCCAGAAGCCCCGACAAGCTGCCCTCTTGCCCTGTGGGCCAGCGGATGGACAGGCCCCACCCCAGCATCAGGTGTTTCTTGTGTCCGGGCACTGAGAATAAATACCAGGCCCCTTCTGCATGGAGGGCACAGCCATGGGCCGGACAGACTCAAGTGTCTCACAGAATCCAACAGTACTGGGCTGTGTGTCCCTACATAAATTGCTTTTCCCCTCTGAGCTTGGTCTTTTCATTAACAGAACAAAATCTAGAAAACTTGATACGAAGTGCCACAGGATTTTAGCTTTTGAGGACCACAATTCTCCTCTTCTTTTTTCTTCTTCTTCTTCCTCTCTCTCTCTCTCTCTCTCTCTCTCTCTCAGTGGTACTGGGGCTTGAATGCACTGACTTTCCAGGCAGGTGCTTTTCTACTTGAGTTATGCCACCAGTCCCTTTTTACTTTAGGTTCTTTTTCAGAAAAGGTCTTCAGTTTTAACCTGCACTGGCTTGAGACCCTGATCCTATCTTTAGCTTCCTCCTGAGTTGGTGGGATGATAGCCATAAACTACTACACCCCACTTTTCATTGGCCTGAGGTAGGTTCTCAGTAACTTTTTTCTCTAGGCTGGTCTATTGATCTCTGCTTCCCAAGTAGCTGGGATTACAGAAGTGAGACATTACAGCTGGCCTTGTTTTGTGTTTTACAACCCTTTAGAAACATAAAACTATTGTTAGTCCCTAGGCTAGATTTGGCTGGTGGACTATAATTTGCAAAATGTTGGTGAAGAGCTTGGGTGCTGGTGAGTCCTGGCAGACAGATCCCTAAAACTCTGGAGCCATTTTTTTTGGGGGGGGTGGTCATGGGGCTTGAATTCTGGGCCAAGGCGCTGTCCTTGAGCTCTTCAGCTCAAGACAAGCACTCCACCACTTTAAGCCACAGTGCCATTTCCAGTTTTCTGGTGGTTATTTGGAGATAAGAGTCCCACAGACTTTCCTGCCTGAGCTGGCTTTGAACCATGATCCTTAGATCTCAGCCTCCTGAGTAGCTAGGATTACAGGTGTGGGCCACCGCCACCTGACTTGGAGCTCTTTTCAAAATTATTTTCTCACTCTTCACGCTTGGGTTTCCAGAAGCAAGACTGCCATCTAGGACAGTCTCAGTAGACCTAACCCTGAAATCAGTGAATGAGGCCAACAAAGCATGGTTTGCGCTAGGCACTGGTGGCTTCCCTCTGTCACCCCAGTTACTCAGGAGGCTGAGAGCTGAGGATCACAGTTCAAAGCCAATCCAGGCAGGAAAGTCTGAGACTCTTTATCTCCAATTAACCAGCAAAAGGCTGGAAATAGTAGAACTCTAGCCTCAAGTAAAAAAAAAAAAAAAAAGCCCTCAAGGACAGTACCCAGGCCTTGAGTTTAAGCCCTAGGACTGGCACAAAACCAAAAACAATCCCCCTCCCCCATGGCTCTGATTTGTGTCTTGGGCATTCTCTATTCTAGGAAGGACCTGGAAGATCTAGTCTTTTTTTTGGGGGGGGGGGCTGGTACCAGGGTTTGAACTCAGAACTCAGATCCTTGAGCTTGTTTGGCTGGTGCTTTATCAACTTCAGCCATGTCTCCAGCCTGGCTTTTCTTTTCTTTTCTTTCCTGGCTGTTATGGGGATAGAGTCTGGAGTCTGGCAGACTATTCTGCCCGGGCTGGCTTCAAACCTCAATCCTTCAACTCTCAGTGCACCATGAGCAGCCAGGGTGGCAGGAGTGAGCTATTAGTACCTGGCTGGGAGAACGAATCCAGAAGTGGATTAGTTGGCCTCAGTTTACCCATCTGAAAAAATGGACGCACTAATGAATGACCTCTAAGTTATCGTGAGAAGTGTTTAGCCAGCCAAAGGACCTGGCTCACCTTGGCAGTTCAGCAAACATTAGCTGCCCTCATGGTGTGTGTGTGTGTGTGTGTGTGTGTGTGTGTGTGTGTGTGTGTGTGTGTGTGTGTGTGTGTGTGTGTGTGTACGCGCGTGCGCGCCGCCAGGCCCTCTGCACCCCACCTTCAGCACAGGGGTTGTGCAGGAGATTCCTTTGCAGGCTGCGCAGGAAGTAGAAGATCTTCCAGTCGGCCACAGGCTGGTCCCAGTCCCGGGTGATGAAGCCGTCGCGCAGGCACTTGCGCTTCCAGAGCGTCACCAGGTCGATGAGGTCCCGCCAGAGGCTGCAGACCGGGCGGCAGCGCAGCAGCAGCTGGCGGGCGGGCACGTGCGTGAAGAGCTCCAGCAGGATGTTCTCGGGGAGCTCGTTGATGTTGATCTTGGCCATGGTGGTGGTGGCTGGGGGTCGCTCTCAGGCCTGTGGGGACAGCAGCAGTGAGCCAAGAGCAGGGAGCAGTACTGGGGTGTGCATGTGCACCCAATCCTAGAGATACAAGTCTTAAAGCTGGGCTCCGGTGGCTCATGCATATTGAAGTAAGGAGGTCAGGTCTGGCCAGCGCCATATTGGCCACATGGTGGATTGTAGGGTCTGAGATCTAGTCTTTTTATGCTAGGGGAAGAAAACTTCCTATCACCTGCCTCCCAGGTGATGGGCGTGCCCAGATCCCTGGAGGCAGGAATGGGCACTTGGCTGATAGGTTACTAAACTTGTCAGTCCAGTGCCTGGGACTGGGAATTTCCTGTGGATCTGTGTCCCCCCCCCCCAACCCCCTCCCGACCTACTTAGGCCCGGATAAGCCTAGAGGCCATTACACGATGCCACGTGTCTCCATGATTATCTCCTGTGTCCTGTCTCTGCCCCGTCTCCTGGCTCATCTCCAGCCATCATGGTGTACCAATTCAGCTTTCCATTGGAGCTAACTTGGATTGTTGGTATTGTTTTGTTCTTTCCTCTTTAGCCTGTTTCCTAGCTGTGTTACGTGTATTTGGGGACTGCAGACCTTTGTAACAACTGGCTGCCTGCAGCCTGCTAACTATAATAAAGACTCCAATATTTCATATTCCAAAAATGTGGCTACTGGGATAATTTACCTTACAACACTATAATCCTAGCTACTCAGGAGGCTGAGATCTGAGGATCAGTTCAAAGGCAACCCAGGCGGAAAAGTCGCCATGAGACTCTTATCTCCAAATAACCACTCAAAAAATGAAGTAGAGTTGTGACTTGATTGGTAGAGTGCTAGCCTTGAGCACAAAGAGGCTCAGGGACAGCGCCCAGGCCATGAATTTAAGCCCCACAACTGACCAAAGGGAAAAAAGTCTTAAAGCCTTTCTGCTATCCTAACCAGGCATAAGCCAGTAATGACCAGCCATTGGGAGGTGGAGGCAGAACAATCAAGAGTTCAAAGCTGCGTTCAAAGCTGCCGGGCGCCGGTGGCTCACACCTGGAATCCTAGCTACTCAGGAGGCTGAGATCTGAGCATCACGGTTCAAAGCCAGCCCGGGCAGGGAAGCCCATGAGACTCTAATCTCCAATAAAGCACTAGAAAACCGGAAGTGGCACTGTGGCTCAAGTGGTAGAGGGCTTCCTTTGAGCTGAAGAGCGCCAAGAACAGTGCTCAAGCCCAGAGTTCAAGCCCCATGACTGACCAAGAAAATAATTCAGGGCTGGGAAGGTAGCTCAGTGGTAGAGTGCTTGCTTTGCATGCATGAAGCCCTGGGTTCAATTCCTCAGCACCACATAAACAGAAAAAGCCAGAAGTGGTGCTGTGGCTCAAGTGGTAGAGTGTTAGCCTTGAGCTGAAGAGCTGAGGGACAGTGCTCAGGCCCAGAGTTCAGGCCCATGACTGGCAAAAAAAAAAAAAGAGTTCAAAGCCAACTGAGACCACAAGGAACTACAGTTTTTATATTAAAAACAAAACAACCTAGCTACTCAGGAGGCTGAGATCTGAGGATCACAGTTGGAAGCCAGCCAGGGCTAGAAAGTCTATAAGACCCTTCCTTATCTCTAAGTAACTACCAAAAAAGCCAGCGGTGAGTCTGTTGCTCAAGTGGTGGCATGCTAGCTAGCCTTGAGCAAAAATGCTCAGGGACAGTGCCCAAGCTCGGACTTCTAGCCCCAGGACCAGCACAAAATAAATAAAATGTTAAAAGAGCCTTTTGAAGCTAGTTGGATGCCCGGTAAGATTTCCCAGAGGTGACACAGTGGGGTGCAAATTCCTTGAGGGCTTGGCGATGGAGATCTTCACTGTCAGAATACCAGGGCTGGGAGTGTGGCTTAGGTAAAGTGCTTACCTAGCATGCATGAAGACCTGGGTTCCATTCCTCTGTGCCACAAAAAGAAAAAGCTCTTGTGGCAGAGTGCTAGCTGTGAGCAAAAGAAGCTCAGGAACAGTGCCCAGGCCCTGAGTTCAAGCCCCAGGACTGGCAAAAAATGAAAATACAAAATACAATTATCCACTGCTCACCTAGAGGAGCTCAATCACACATTCCTCCAGCCAGGCCTGGGAAGGCCAGGAATGTGGCTGTACGAGCTCCAGGACTAAAGTTCCGCCTTGGGTGAGGTTTGGGATGAGACAGGGAGGGTTTTACCTGCATCTGGCTGGTATGGAGAATGTGGTCCACCTCTGTGGGGCAAGCTTTTCCCAGGCTCTTCTGAGGGTGCAGACAGGGCCCAGAGGAGGCTCTGTCTTGTCAATCCTCAGGGCCAGAAAAAGGATCTTTGGTCCCTGTGGCTATGCTAGGGAGGGACAGGAAATAGCTTCGTAACAAGTGAGATCAGACCACTTTAAAGTGTTGACAATGCACAGGGAAGCGGAGGCTCTCATCCTCCATTAACCACCAAAAGCAAGCCAGAAGTGGAGCTATGGCTCAAGTGGTAGAGCCCCAACCAGCCCTGAGTGAAAAAGCTCAGGGACAGCGCCCAAGTCCCGAGTTCCAGCCCTAGGATCCGCACACAAACACCTGTGGAACTAGCTCACGGGGCACCCCGGGGGGCCAGGCCGGCCGCCGGGGGTCGCCCCCCATCCCGTCCCCACCTAGGAAGCGGACGTCCCACCAGGTCCCGGGTCCCGGCCTGGGCA